ACACACACACACACACACACACATGCTATAAAGAAGTAACCAAAACACTACAAGCACATACTTTAAATAGATCCATTTTATTTATAAAACTTGTTTTACACAAAATATATCTGTTCAAATCATATATTTACATTTTCTGGCTACAGAAGGTGAACTCAGAACAAGTGCATACATTAATAAATGCCTCTTTTCCACTTTTCCCAGAAGGAAAACAAAACAACAACAAAAACCCACTGCAGTCTGTCACAGGTAGTGGCCTCTCGGCTCCCCGCCACGCTGACAGCTGCTTCTCAAGTCAAAACACCGTCAGGGAGAAAGTGGCAGTAAACATTGTTCAGGAACATTTCGTTTGGCTCATTGTACAAAAATATGTCTCTGCGTTAACAAAAAAAAAGTAAAGAATATGATACAGTGTTGTTAGAAATCTACATCATGGAGAAAAGTCGCATCTTCTTCTAGGCGGACGAGGAACCAGATTTGATGAAGTTCTCATCCAACACAATCCAGCAGGACCTCCTCTCTGCCCAAATAATTGCACTTATTCAAACATCAACAGTTCTTCACTTCCATGCGTGTCTGAGCCCCCCCTCCTCCCCCTCTCCAGTAGGAACTTTAAGGGGGGGGCACTGTTTACGCGCTTTCACACAGACGCTCTCTCCCCTATCTCATTATTGCTTTGCTCCTGCAGAAGCAGGGGCTGAGATAACAAATCACCTGTGAGCGCGAGGTGGGGCGACCCCCCCACCACCACCACCACCACCCCAGGTCTGATGTCATTAGTTTGTCAGCATTTCTGAGAGAAATCAGCCACTTTTACGCGCAGACGGTCCTGACAGCGTCAGTACCTGTCAAACCAGGTTGTGAAGTCCAGCAGTTCCTGTTCCTCTGAGCTCAGAGGCTCGTACCCGCCTTCATCCGAGGAGTAGGCGGAGTGAGGGGACTCCGGGTCCGCGGAGTAGCTGTTGGAGAGCGTCGGGGACGGCAGCCCGCACTGGAACGCGGCCGAAACCGCGTCGTGCTCGTCGAGCAGCTGCTGCAGGGCTCTGATGTACTCCACGGCCGACCTCAGGGTCTCCACTTTGCTCATCTTCTTGTTGGCGGCGCCGTTGGGCACGTGCTGACGCAGCGTCTGGAAGCCCATGTTGACCTGCTTGACCCGGTTCCTCTCCCGCTCGTTGCGCCTGGCCACGGCCACGGGCTGCTGCTGCGGGATGGAGTAGCCCAGGCCTTTGAAGCTCAGGCGCCGCTTGCAGCGCAGCAGCTCCGGGGAGCTGGAGCGCTGTCTCTTCAGCACCTTGTTGCCGCCACCGCCGTGCGGGTGGACGGCCGGGACCGGGTCCTGGGCCGGAGCGTGCAGGCTGATGCTCGTGCGCTTTTCCGTCAGTGCAAAGGTGAACGCAGTTTGCGTGGTGGTGATGGTCGTAGTTTCCATCTCACTCTCTCTCTCTCTGTGGGGTCTCTCACAGATCTTCTGGTGCGTTCAGGGACTGAGTGCAGAAGAGGAGGAAGGTGGGTTGGCAGTGCTCAGCTCTCGTGTCCTTCGCGTGGGGACCGTGTGGCTAAACTCTAGTCCAAGTCTCTCGTTGACTGCTTATACTCGGTCTGACCCAGACTTTGGCAGCACTCCTCTTTTTCAACACGCGCGCCCCCCCCCAACACCCCCCCCCCCCCCCTTTTTTTTTTTTTTTTTTTTTTTTTTTTTTTTTTTTTTTTGGGAGACGCACGCTTCTCGGCGAGACCCCGCCCCCGCTGTGTGATTCTTCTGCACACCAACTCCCCAGCTCCCCCGGGCAAGGCGCGTGGCTCCGGGAGCTCAATAAACAATCCCGAGCGTTCAACTGCGCCTGGGAGCACGCGCTGGGCTCATTTACATTCCAATGTCTCCAATCTGAAGGCTCATTGGTCGATTCAAACGGCCTGCGAACAGTGCGAAAAGAGAGAAAGGAAGGAGGGGGGAAAAAGGCAGAGAAAAAAAAGAAAAAGTGTAGAGAATGGTGGGGGTGAATAGTTTGGTTCTTTGAAATGTCCTTTGAATCCTTGCGTTTTTTTGTCTTTTTGGCACGTTTCCAAATTATCCCCCCAACCCCTCATGGCGCTTGGTCATCTTTTTTTTCCCTCCTCTTGCTCCTTTTACAATCACAAATACCAAGGAGGCTCTCTGCTGTATCCGGGCTACAAATTCACAAAGAAGGAAGTGCAAAGTGTGTCTCAGAGCTCATGRTAATTGGAAATAATGCAGGAGACGCAGCTCGCGAACAGCAAACATCAGGATTCATCCGCGCGCATCAGAAAAAAGTTGGGACCACTCACGTGCTTTTGATCATAAAGTCCTGTCAAAATCAAGTTTCTCTCTCAAAGTCTAAAAAAATATATGTATTTATACATAAACATCTACTATCTGGGGACCGTGTAGTAAAAGCAAGGCCAAGTTGTTTTTTATAGGCAGCAATCTGTGGTCTGACCCAGAATTTCAGCACCACCTCTGACTGGACAGCTGAAGGCTACAACATCTATTATTAAAAGTTTTGTCTATTTAATTCAAAACTGTTTTTTATTTTGTTTTATTTTGTTCCAACCAACATCGTTGAAACTCTTGGGTAACTGTTGTTTAAATGTAAAGAGCAAAAACTACAGTAAGAAAGCAGAAGTTTCAGCCATGTGGAGCGCTGTCAAGACAAACTTGGTCTATTGCACCTCCTGGTGGTGATAGATAGGAGCTACACCCGGACCTCAGCTTCATTTCAGAGTGACTGAAATGAGTCATTAATTCTTGGTTTCTTTGGTTTCTTGCAGTTGGTAGCCTGTTGTTTACTGCTGAATATTATTTTTTTCTCGAATGTGTTAGCTGCTGTATATCTATAAAATATATACAAAAATTCAATAATTTACTAGTCCTTAATTTACACAATTTTAAAACTATGCATTCTCATTATTTTTTAAGTTTGGCTTCAACAAAAGTCTCTCATTGCACGATTCAGATYGAGTTTATTTATTTATTTTAAACAATGACCACAAAATAAATATGTTTCACGTGATTAGTTGTCCACTAAAATATAATTATAAGGTGGTAAGGTGCTGAGTAGTTGATTGATTAAATGTTTTCCAGTAAAGCAGAATAATGATCTAAAGCTGTCCCCTTTTGTAGATGATTGTTGGTCAGATGGGCTTTGCTCCTTAGCATTTGTGTTATGCAAAATATTTATATTATGGTACAAATTGGTAACTAAGTGTATTTAAGAAGCTGTTTTTGGTAAAATAGCGAAGTAATGTTTTAATTGTGCGTTTTATGTTTAGAATTAGTGTTTATGCACTCGAAAAGACATAAGTGCAGCCTCTTTAAAGTAAACTTTATTTAAATCTAAAAACAATAATGATATTTAATTTGGATTGTGTAATCGTGTGTATAACAATGGACAAACAAACTGTTGTGATTTGTAGGGGAAATCCCCCCCTTTCAGCTTGCACTCCCCTGCATTCCATGGATCTAATTTTCAACAGCAGGGGGCGCTAAAAGAACACTAAATCAGAAAGACATGTTTATTATACTGTATGTAAACATGTTTCTGCTGCTGAGGGATTGTGGTGTTTTCATTCCAGGTATTGTTAAAAAAAAAGAAACACAAACAAATGAGTGACATTTTGTTATCTTCATCATCAAAGAACATTGTGACGCTAAAAAAACTTTGCTCTGCTTCACATGGTGATTGGAATCTGCAGCATGGTTTCTTTCTCTGGTACTAAAATCACTTCCTGACTATTTTTAGGCCTGCTAAACATGTGGCGCTCACTAAATAAAACCCAAAACAAAGCCTGACTCCAAAGAATAAGATGAAAACTTAGTAGATTTGTTGTAAAATGTATTTATGTGAAGAATGACATGAATAAGATATTCTTTAGTCATAGATAGGTGGACCTTTTTATGGTTAATTTTATGATGTTTACTGATATTGTTAAMGTTTGCTTTATCGTTTTTAGCTTTGGACAAAACATTCTTAGATTCTTTGATTTCAATGAGTTTTTTCTGCTAAAAAAAGGGAAATAAAATGTGAAACACTGCAGAGACAGGAAGTATGCATGTTGAGCAAACATCTTACGGAAAGATTATTTTTAATCAGTCTGAACCATTTATCAGCACTTGTGAAATGTGCACCAGTAAGTTATTTTTTTATTATTATTTTTATCTTCACTTTCATTTTCACACAAGGAAAGAACCATGGCAGTTTGTTCAAACCTGCCAGGCTCTTTCTGCCGGGTAAAGGCGTGGCTGTTTRTTCGCTTTGTGGTGCCAGCACTTCAACTCGAGACAACAAATCATAAAAAGAGAGATTAGGGCAGTGCAGATTAAAAGAGGGAGATAACTGGGGAAGAAGRTCGTAGTAAACATTCCCTGCAGAAATCCCCTCTAGTAACCTGAAAGGCCTGACATTATTTGCAGCTGCTCAGTGAAAGTTTGTTGACATACAGGTGTGTGCCAGGTGCCACCATTTTATTTTTGGTTTATGAAACTTTTACACAACTAACACTTCCTTAGCATTATGAATGAAGATATATTTAAAATATGTCTTTTTTATGTTTCATCAACCAGATTCCTTCCTCGATGACTTTTTTTAAACTTCTGGAGGATGTGCTTAGGCCTCAATGCTACTTCCAGTGAGCAGAAAAAGAGAAGTGTTTCATTCAAGTACGTATCGCTTCCTTATTCCTGGCACATTTGCATGGCTATACTGTGATTGAGCTTTATTCCTTACAGATGAAGGGGGGGTCCCTAACGCGATTTGTGGTCGGGATGAACACCAACAGTTCCCCCACGAGGTGGAAGCCGGAGAAGCTTTACGCTGCATAAATCAAAACAAAGAACTTGATTTTGACCTTTGACTTTTTTGTTTGTTTTGTGGATTTATCAATAAACAAGAAGCTGCACCGTTTCTGCTGGTTGCTGAAAGAGGAAACGGTGCCTCTTTTGTATCAAGCAGCAAAACCAACTTTTTTTTCCCTTTTTTTGGTTTTATTCTGTTTTAGTGATGGAGACTGAAATGTCTCACCTTAGACATCCCCTCTGCATCATCAGTCTCATGACACAYAATCCACACCTGCAGGAGTCTGATTCTGAAAGTTTCAGAAAACACGCCAATTACTGAATTGTCTGAATTTGCTAGAACTTGATGAGGGTTTTTCTTTTTGATTTCTCTCTTTCTCTCTTTATAGAAGGAAGTAAAAATATATCCGCTGTGAAAACGCAACGTTCCTTTAAATCAGAAAAAAAAATCAGGCATGATTTGAAAACCAAAATGTTATGAAATGTTAGATTTGTCCTAGAATGTACATTAAAAAATCTTTGTTTTAATCATTGCAGAGTTGTGACAAAACTCACCAAAGCTTAAAAACACTTTACGATTAGAAATATTGAAACATATTCAGAGTTCATTGCATTGTAAGTTTTACTATTGTTCTTTTTGTGGAGGTTTTTTGATAGGCCTGCTATATATTATCTTCTAACAAGACCACAACATTGTTATATTTTATGTACAAAGCAATAAACTCCCCTCTTATTTGCATATTTGAAAAAAACTGTTCTGAGTTGAGAGCTCCTTTCTAGATTTTCCRGGATATTTTCAGAGTTTGCTGCAAAAACAGAATTTGGACAGAATTTCTAAAGACAAACTCAGAATAGAGYCGCTGCTCCTCCACACTGAACTGAACCAGTGGAGGTGGTTCAAGCATAAGGATGTCCTCCTGGACACCTCTTTAGGAAGGTGCTTCAGGCATGTCCGAGGAGACCACCAGAATMTAAAAAGAGGCACATTTAGCTCAAAGATGCCATAGCAAATCTATAGCGTAAAATAAAAATTGAGCAAATATGCTGAAACAGAGTTTAAAGTGAACAAAAAGAAAAAAATTATATAGGTCTTCTGGACGGGTTCTTCTCTAATGAAATGTTTCGTCTCTTCTCCAAGAGATTTCTTCAGTCTGAGAGCCACTGTTCAAAAGAATGTCCCAACACAGACGAGCTACTTCTAAT